TAGCCTTCGCTTATTTTTCGCTTCCTGGCCAGCGTTTGATAAGGCCCTGAGAAAGCCTTTCATCCAAAATCCTAAAACTTGGCTAGGCTCATATATATTCCTCCAAATGTGGTCTTTCTGATGGTCTGGACCTGGTGGGTAAGACTTGTCTACATGAACAAATAACCTTGAATTCCCCCCAGGCTCACTGTGTCCTATTTATATGGTGCAGCATCAAAATTCCAAATCAGGTGAGGACTGTCTTCACAAAACTTGCATTAAATTTGGGGCTTCCTCTCCATAACCCACATTTAAATAACTCACTTTTGCTGCAGATTTTCAGATCTCTTTGCAGCAATGATGTGTATGATGATCTCTGCCAGCCACCCAGTGCCACCACTGAGGGTGTGAGTTTCTCTAAGGAACAATTGATCACATGGTTGGGCCCCTCATTCTGACCTTAGCAGCAGCACCAGATGATGAATGGGAATCATGTGGCAAGACAGCCACCCATCATTTGCTGCAAGAACTGAAAATCTCGGAACCCCAGAATATTCTAGCAAGTGAAGACAGGGTGTTAGTGACAAAGCTTGGAAACATTGTTTTTAGGGCCACAGAACACAGTATCTCCAGCCATTGGGCATGCTATCGGAGAGTTTCTGGGATTTGTAGACAAAGATAACATTTCCAGCCTTTATCTAGTGCAGGCTATATGTGTATGCTACCTCACACAATAGCCCTCTAAAGAAAGTAAGTGGCTAAACCATGAAATCAGTACCACAAGAGTAACTGGAATAATGGTCACAATGAGAAGGTGAAAGAGGAATAACAGGGTATCAGAGAAGTCTTAATATAAACCATCACTAGTCAGTTTGATTTCATTGCCTCTTTGCCTTTATAACATTAATTTATATGTCATCAGACTGTCAGCAATTATCAGTGTCAGAAACTTGTAGGTGGCCCAGTGACAGCCAACAAGGGCCTATTTTTCAGTTACTCAAGTGTAAAATATTGTCAACTTGTTTTTTGTCCAATTAGCAGATTGTTTCCACTTCAAAGCATTCCAGAAGCAAAATGATCAGCCATGCCTTTTTGTTCCTCAGACTGAATCTTTTGCTGATCAGCTTTCAAATAAAAGATTGTGGAAAGCCAGGTCAGATCCAAAGGTATTCCTACCAGCTCGGCACATGCTGCTATGAAACTATAACAGCAGGAGTGAGGTTCCTTTAAAATAGGATTTATGATTCAGTTCTAGCATTTAATACAACTGTTATGTGGACAATCACACAACATACACATGACTCATTGGAAGAAATCCAATTTAATGTGGCTCCATTGTGGCATACACAGAAAACATCATGCTGTAGCTATAGCAATAGCAATAGTAAGTACATTTCTGTACTGCTTATCAGTGCACTTAAGCACTCCCTAGTTGTATTTCTTATTTCTTATGAACATTTCATTTTGTTAAATGGCACAATGTTGGTAGGAATGGCAATATGAATGGTTCCTTAGATGCCACCTTTTGTGAGGCTTTAATATGTTGGTAGCTCAGTCAATGTCACTTGTCCTTCTGGTGTGAGAAGAGACAAATCAGGATGACAAAAGCTTAGAAAACTTACTTTTTGAAGTTTGTTGCTGTTAACTGCCCTTGAGACAACTACAATTCATGTGACCCTGTGGATGAGGCATCTCCAAGACTCAAAGTTGTAGAGAAATTAAATTTTCTAGAAATTAAAGCCATTGATAAAAATCCCAGCTAGGCTGCTCAGAGATGAATAGACAATGGAATTCCAGTCATAAGATATATTTCAAAGACATTTGGAATCTATCAAGTCAGACCTACATTTTACCTGTAATAAGAACTTGACCTTGGGGAATTTATAATTAGCTCAAAAATAGTAAATAGGATCCAACCCATTGTATGCAGGGGGCTGGAGGGAACAGTTCCTGCAGAGACAGCATTTGTCAAAAAAAAAATGGTACTTCTATTAAGAGAGAAAAATAAATCAATGAGTAAGCACACACATATACAGAGGATCAAACATACAAAAACACTCTAACATACATGCACACACACAAGAACTCAGGAGTAGCTTGAATAGGAAACACAAGGCTTTCTAATGGTGATAGTTACCTGAAAGGAGGCTGCTCCAATGATGAATGAAGAGGTAGACTCAACCATTATAACAGGGAAAGGACAAAGAATAGAGCTGAGAACTCTAGTTAGAGCTCACAATGGCAGGCATCATGACATCTATCCAGACCTCCCTCCTTCCCAAGATTTTGGTAGGAAGCATTTATACCCTTAAGACTAGACTGAGGCAAAAAGTTGCTAGTGTATATCAAATATTCCAATGCTTTGCTTTGAAGTAGACAATTTCCAAAAGAGGGGAGATAAGATGTTGATGCTATCTCACTTTTTCAGCCAGTCACATTCTGCCTGGTTCATAAATCTTTTAGGTGTTAATGTCCTGCTTTACAGCTCCTATGCTTGGCTTTTTTGATCTGCAAATGGTTGTAAATGCAGATTCAGCTCTGTTTGGAGTGCCTATGTGAGGCTCAGCCTTGAGCCCATGGCTTTCAGCATAGGGCCATGACAGAGACCCAAAAGAGGTCTTGAGATCAAAACCAATCAGAACCACTAATCATAACATACCCAAACACTTGTAAGAGAGGAGCAGGATATGGTTTGATGGGATTTCTGTTATTTCCAGGAAAACAGAAACACTGAAACAAATGTTGATGTTGGAAGTAAACTCATTCCCAATAGTTGAGCAAGTATAAAGTTCTACTAGGTTTCATAGAAAAGGGTTAAATTGGAATATTCCATTTTATTGGAACAAACTGTCTTGCCAAATGGAATTAATCACAAGTAGGTGCAAATGCTGAAACACATTTAGGGTTTTATCTTTATGCCTTCCTATTGATATTCATTCTTTAACACATTTTGCACCAGGCAAAAGACTAAGTGGAGTAATAAGAATCCTTAACTAAATCCCTCTGTGTGAATTTGAAAATGTAGATGTTGATCTTTTTTAAAAAAAATTGCACTATGCAGTGAATTAACTAAATAACAGCTATTGCTTTCCACAGAAACTTCCCAACTAATTCCCAAATCAATAAACTGAAAAGCATCCCTCCTTCGTATGCAGGGGGGAAAACCACCATGGATCTATTGTTCCAACCAGCGGCACATATATTGTGCTTTTTTTCACCCCTCACAGGTAGGCTGCTTAAACAGAAAATGCATTTGAGTGAAGTTGTTAATTCAGTGGAAATGTGTTAATACTTTGATACTTGTCCT